AATGATTATAATACGCACAAAAAATTAATTCGTTGAATTTATGAATTGGAAGTAATATTCAACTTAGTTTCATCGTAAACGAATGATTTCGGTCGAATGTAAATGTGATGCGATATCCGCCATGTTATTTCAGTACACGTGGTTCATTTAAATATGTTGATGACGGTTCAGTGACCTCGTAGTGAACTCAACATAGGATTCACCGATGTTGTAGCAAGATCTTTATGCTTTGATTTTGACGGGGAAAACAGCATGATTTTTTTTAAATCGAAAAATTAGTTGTTTTCAAAAAATAAACTGAGCATTCAAAGAATAATTTAACATTGTTAACAGAAATAACAGCACATTGTCGAAACGAAGCTTACCCATTCACGCTATTCACAATAAACATGATACTCTTGAATAGGTGTCAATGACTACGGTAAAATATAAATTAGACTCTTTTAGGCATCAGGAGTGAATGAAAATTATATCCAAAATATTTAAAAAAAAAACTCCCGAAAAAACGCCGGGCGATTTCATGGTCCATTCGTGGAGGGACTGTGGTCCGTTGCAGACTGCTCGACTGACCGTCCATACACGTGTAGTCACTGTACATCTGCCATGTTGAATCGCACAAGATCGGCAAAATCTTCATTGCAACTAACAGTTCAATGCTCACAACATAAAAAATACGAATATAATCAGAGGCAACCTACTATTATATAATGAATAAATTGATCGAGACAGGGACATCCCCCCCCCCCCCCCGAGTTGTGGATATTTTGGAAATCGCGACACAAGCAAAAGACCGGATAACGATTTTACTTGAAACTATGTCCCCATGAATTAATCCTCCGTGTACAATAATTTGACAGGGTATACAATTTACAAACTAGTTTCGTAGATTGGAGACAATTGCTTGCTTTTTTGGCTTTTCACAAGAATATAAAGCTGGCAATCATCATAATATTCACGTCCGTACGTACGTCACGGAATGTATACCAATCGCACCCCAAAATACATTCAATTTTGTAGAAACTGGAGAACTTACCTTTGCAAACACGTCTCTTATGCCGCCTTCTTGAAGTTCTTGAAATCAAATAAGGTTACTAGTTCTTCTAGTAACTAGTGAACGAGACCACTGAGCCGAACAGAACACATGTATAAACAGTACTATTATAATAAATTGCACGGAATGGAGAATTCACGTGCCTGCCGTAATAACAGCAGCATTACTCACAGATCTAATCTACTGTAAAATATTTTATTTCAGCTGGAATATTATCATTCGCTGAAAAAGACTTTTTCTGGGTGTTTTGTATTGAATTTAGTTGACAGTAAAATATAGGAAAAAAGGTATATTCGCTGGATTTTATTTTAACTGAAACATTCCTTCAGCGAAAATAGCAAAAAAATGTTGCAAGCGAAAATAAAGTATTTTACAGTAATTAATTTATTCTGAGCATGGCGGACGTTCTGTCAATGTTGCCGGGAGAGGTAATTTTTGATGAAAAGTG